TATATTTTGTTTTTAAAATGAATAATCTGGTATTATATCTTTTAAAGTTTAGAATTCTTAAAAACATGACATCCTTTGCAAAAACGCTGTGATTTAAAGTACAACTTAAAAATTCAATTATTATAAATTATCAGTAGAAATAAGACTAAATACTGAATTTATTAAGATAAAATTAGTAATTTGAAAAAAAAGTACCGATTCCGATATTTCAAAATTTCTATTTCAAAGTGTTAAAACAATTATAAAAGAAAGGAAAAAAAAAATGTTTTTTTCATGTTTATATTATAGTTAAAATAATTTGGTTGGCTTGTTGGGTCATGCCAATCAAATATTAAAATTGATTTTTGATTTTAGTTTAGTAAAGTATAAAATAAAATACTGAATTTAATACAGGAACTCGGGAAGGCTATAACTCTGATAGTCAATAGCTAAATTTATTACTACTAAGCCACAAAATGGATATTTTTGTTAAAAAGTCTTCAAAAGCATCTGAATCGTATACAGCATATTCAATAATCTTTGATACATTTTGCCATTTTGGTGAGTCTTAACAAATTTAATATTGCATGATATTCGTTCATTTCCTTTTTCGAAATATTATTTTTTACAAAATTGATGTCATTTCTTTAAAAATTTTTTTTTTGTTGTGTATTTTTCCGGGTCTGGTATGAAATCCTGAACTCTAATGCTGGTCAAACGCATCACATGACGCTGCATAATTCTGCATAACATGGGCCATTTGTCGGGATTTTGTATTATTCAGGATTTTAGACTGTCGGGGTTTTGACGGATCCCTTTTTTCCTGTATAAACTTATCCATTCGATTTTATTTTTTGGAGTTATTTGATTGGATTACAAAATATTCTCTTATTGTGTAATTTTCAAAATAATTAATATTCTAACATATAAGAATTTTCTTTGTAATTTTTGTAAATTATATATTTTTTACAACAGAGATTTTTTTATATTTACGATAAACTTATAATGATTTTTTTTTTATTTTCGTCTTTCTAATGAAATAAAATAATAACAATTCAATTATATTACCTAGTTAAAAAAAATTTTCTTATATATGAGCTCTATTTTTCTTTATCAATTTTATTAGTAACGAAATCTGATAATTAATAATTAAATGAATTTGCCCAATAAATTCGATTAACATGCTAAAGAGTATGGAAAGCTGTCCTTGACAAAAGGTTGATGTCCAAACATCATGAAATATAATGTTTAGACATCATGATGGTATGTCTAGACATCATGTTTGATATATGTAGGATGATGTTTGTACATTATTTAACATGATGTGAAAGACATCAACCGACATGATGTCTAGACATCATGCTCACCCCACTCGGGTGATCATCAAAGGATATAACCTTATTATTTACGTCACAAGTGCATAGGATATATCCTTTGGTGGGCGGCCCATGGGCATTATTATATAAGTCACGTGACTTTTAATTTTAACGTTAATATTTTAATGCTAATTTCAGCACATACTTATAATGCCCATAATGTCTGGCACACAATCCCAGATAAACATGCGTTGGTTTAGCGCATGTTTCCCAGAGTAACATGCGGTAACTCTGGCGCATGTTCCCAGTAACATGCGATGACTCTGGCGCATGTTCCCTAATGTAACATGCGATGACTCTGGCGCATATTCCCTACTGTAACATGCGATGACTCTGGCGCATGTTCCTTACTGTAACATGCGATGACTCTGGCGCATGTTCCCTACTGTAACATGCGATGACT